AGTACTGAGTATATCTTACTTTTACATCCCCCCCACCATCTTAAGAAGGTACAGACTAGATCATATTTTCAACCAGACACCTTCCTTCTCTAAAGGTTGAAGCAAATTCTATGGCCCTAAATAGACAAATGCTACAAACTTATATTGAATTTGGGTTGGAGTAAATTTACCAGATGTACTTATCATTCCTACACATTTAAAATCACGTCATGTACCTAAATAAACAAACTCTAAGGTAACAAATTCACTTATTTACATTTAGACATAAGAGTTGTAAACAAATAATAATAAAAAATAACATCTATTATTAATTGTATACAACACGAAGAAATATTATTATCAGCATTCATACTTGACTAAATATAATCGTTTATTACTATTTAAATAATCATTATGGTGCCAATAAAAAATTATTTGAATTCTCTAGTTCATCAATAAATTATAAATATATCTCAAAAGCTTTTTTCTCCTAACTGCAGGGTATCAAATAAATTTTACTCAAAAAAACGAAAATAATTTATTCTAAGAACGCATAATTATACGTACAATTTATTATAAAACTTCAAAACGTCCCCACATTTACATTATTTTTTAATCAGGAAGATGTCAACTAAAAACAATAGTCAACAAATATTTACCTAAACTTAGACCTCATACTCCTTCACGCCAAAATCAAAGTCGAACAACCAACTAAAAAAACAAGTCCCGTGCAGTCAACTAGCGAGCTTACTGTCATACTAAAACATTTTCACCCAGGCACTGTGATGCATGAAATAATATATCACAACTCGGAGTATTGTATCAAGAGTTTTTTGTTCATCCTTCTATAACGGCAATACAAAACCCTTAAGTACCTACCTCATTATAAAACATATTATTTACCTTAGCTAGCCCAACCACTTATAATATTTTAAATGTTCTGTTGATAAAAAAAAAAAAAAACACTCAATCCTTCGCTAAAAAACGGGACCAAATCAATGTATTTCCCACTTATATTAAAATTCTAGGATAATATTCTATCAGTTCAGTACAATTTCTTTTTTCGAGTCATATAATATACCTACTAACCGATTTCTTAGAATTCAAACACATTTCATCCTGAGATATAAATCAATAAAAACTATTACAGTATCTCTCGCGCTTTTGTTTTTTAAACATTTAGATTTTAGATCTCTGTAAATATTTTATAGTTAACAGAATATCATAGTGTGTCACAAGCTATTTTATATCAAATAGGTAAAATGTATATTATTCGAAAAAGTAAAAAAAAAAATAGAGTACTATCTCAAAATGTGACCAAGAATCTAGAGAGCTTGAGATAATAAATGCTGTTTTACTTTTATTTATATGACTATTTAAAAATTTACAAATCATGAAAAATCTAACGAAACAATTTACTGTAACATTTAATATCGAAATTAAACGTTAACATAAACATTCAAATTTAAATAAAAATTATGTTCAGCAAAAATGAATTAACAAAACAGAATAATTCGGAACCTAAAATAAATTTTCTCTATAAAATAAAATAATTCAATATACAATAAAAAAATTGTTTAAAGAAAATCAACGTAGAAACATTTAGTGATTAGTATTCTAAGTATACTAGTATTCAGTATTTTTGATGTATTCTTGCGTTTATAAAAGAATAAATGTGGAACATTTGTTGCATCCTATGTATATATAGTATACACTAAACACACTTTAAATGATTGGCCAACACAAAATATACATACTCAACACTTTTAAATTATTACTTATTATTAAAATGACATACGGCAAGCAGTAACCATCAAAACGAGCGAACTCACATATACACTTATTAACAGCCATCTTCCTAGACAGAATAGTACTATTTTAAATATAATATAATTACTATGGATTTATAAACTAAACGTGTCTTATTATTGATAAAAAGCTCATACACAGTGCTACAGAAAACTTATCCATAAGGAATAGAAAACTTTCTCTGGATAACTAATATCGTAACAAGGTTCCCCCAACCACGTTGAAAAAGTATCAAAATCAAAATGTTTGCACGTATAATGTTTATTAAAGTGACCACAGAAAAAAATGCTATATTGATAAAATGAAAATTAATTATAAGAGTTATAAATAAATAACTATAGCTATAATATATCTATAGATTTATATAATTTATAGTATCCAATAGATAATAGCGTACATTTAATTTTTTCCAAACTAAACAAATAGAATTTCATTCATATTAGTCTTCTGAGACTGAATGTCATATGAGTTAGGCAAAATTTCTACCCAGTACCTACACATATTTTCTCTTTCGTTCCCTCGGGAGTTAGAGAAAATCTGAGCTAAAATATTTTCGTCTGTCCCATCCAAACTTTACTAGAAATAAACAATTTTCGTATTATGAATTTAAAAGCACGTTGACCCAAAAGGTATCATTATAAAATTATGATCTGGAAATTAAAATATTTTTTTCCAGAAATGTATAATATATTTAATAAATAAAATACCTCCGATTATCAACTGAATAACAAAGCCATTTTTCACTGGTTTGAAGGGCGACAGTTTTTAATCAATTTTGGATAGGTTGACAGGTATAAAAAAGAAGAATAAAAGGAATAAAAGATATTATATCCACATTTTTCGTGTCAATAATTTATGAAAATTATTATTATTTAATTGAACAAGTATCAATTTGCACGTTAGACATACTCATATAACAATATTACCGTATAACATGTGACATTTTTAGATGTTATACTATTCAAATGATAACATTTTCCATCTTTTAATTAAAGCTTCAACAACTTAACGAAAAACGTCCATTAAATTCATTTTAATGGATCTTTTTATTTATAAATTAGTAATAGATATAAAATGAATAATGTAATTTAATTTTAGTCTTGTGAAATAAAGTAAACATTTTATTTTAATACTGTTTTCTACAGAAATATACATAATTTTTATTATTTCTGAATATTATCGTACTAGCTATTTTTGATAAACATTTTATTTTATTGATAGTAAAATGTTAAAAACAATTTGAAGAAAATAAACTCAAATATTCCATATATATATATATAGCTAATTTGATGTGTGTTAGTAAAATACAATTATTTAAATTAAATATTATTATTATGAATTTAAACACATAGTTACAAGAATATAGTAGTTTAGATCAGTACTCCACGTAAACTACAATAAATTAAAAGCACTTTATAGATATATGTAACTTAGCGTATATCATATGATAATAAAAAATATGTACAAGTTACCTATTTATATTAATTAAATAAATTAAAAATATATAGAACTTAAATCTACGAATAATTATAATCCACCAGCAATCAACTCTAAATGTACAAAGCTATTTTCAGACCGGCTGCAGCGTGGACCCATACTCCTATAATAGTAATAAAGGTACATGGGGGGCTCTACCAAATCCTCCTAAGCAAAATATTTAATCAAATCGTTTATGCTTCTTGGTTCATCAATAATAATAATTTCCACAATTACCTAAAAATACCAACATTAACACATCAACCAAATTCTGCTACCTTTCATATCATTCAAAGTTCATCATCAAAACCCGCTAATTAATCGAATTTCCTCCCACACAATTACTGATAACTCCCAATGCCATCTAAAATGGACCTGTCCTAGAGACCTTCTAAATTAAGCTGTCGGATGGCACTGCTGAGTGCTTTCCCTATTCTGTAATTCCAGTCATTATAATTACCATTTAATATCTCAATACTACATTTTGAAAAAAATAATTTGTTTTTGTTGTAATTCGTTGTTTTTGGTACAAAATAGTTCAACCTACTCAATAGAAAAATGAATCTCTAATAGCAATATAAAATATATATAATAAGTAATATATTAGAAATACAGGCTGACAGAACGTCTCCACTCAACTTTTTCGTAAGCAATATCATTAAATTTAAGTTTAACACATCTATTGCAGTAACCTACTCTTTGACGAGGTACACTGCAGAACCCCAACTTCCCCGGTTTTTTTTATGTTTATAGATTGTAATTATTCATTTTTAAACATAAAAAGACTACTATTCTGATTAATAAAATATTTAAATATGGTACATAATTTCAGAAAGTTGAATATTATTCAAATATACTAACAACTATAAAAATATATATGTTTCAAACATTTAAATGTTTAAACACACCGTGTGTATCAATTCAAATTGTTCTATGATTCATATCAGTACAAAATACAAAAAAAAAACATACATTCATAAATATATTTTATCGGACTGAATGAGTTTTATACGCATTTGGTATATTGCCCATATTATTTCACCATAAATATATTTCTAAAAGTGTCATATTTATTAGATTACGGATTAAATATACGAACATCAGTACACCACCGGCAGATATTTTCATGTCAAATGAAAAATCACCTAAAAGGTAGGTGTACGTGATTCAAATGCAGTGGAACCAGAATAATCAAATTTCGATACTAAATATATACATGGATATTAAACCAATAATATCTTTAATCCACCGAGGAAATAAAAAAAAATCATACTCAAACTTTATACTCATAATTTACATATAGATCATAATTAATTTTAAATAAATTAGTAAAATAATTATTACATAATCAAATAAATTTGGCAACAAAATATATTGAAATAGCTAATAAATAAAATATAATTTGCATTCACACAAATTATATCAACTAAAACTTTGTATATAACATGTATTAACCAACGTGATTTTTTTGTTGATAATAAAATATAATATGACTAAGGCGGTCACAGTAAAATGTTAAAATCAATAACATCAAATTATTTTGTGGTCTAAAAAAAAAGGTTGAAACATGTAGACCTTGCATATTGTTTATAAAGAATTTATATTTGCACACACAATTTCAGTACTTATTGCGCCATACAGCTTCTAACTAATATATATATCATTTTCTTATAAAATTCAAAAAATTCTTAAGGTGATAAAAATTTAAGTTTAAATTAAACCAAAATATTACTTACTTTCTATGATAAGTTTTGTTCCGTGGCACGTGACTTTCACTTCTATTCGTCCACGTCGTTCAGTATGATCGCAACCGCATAAGTTGGGAACACTCTCCTGGCACCGCTTATGTACATTCATATCACATGCTAATTTGTTTAAGTACAATATAAA